CTTAACTTTTTATTTTAGTATTAAAATTATCCATAAATTTTAAAAAGTACTAAAATTGTTCATAAATTTTCGTTTTCAGTACAAAAATAGTTCTTTTGTTAATGAAAGTGCCAGAAAATCCAAAGTTTTTTTAAAAAATAATGATGTGGAAAAAAAAAAAACACAAGGTGATACTATGACATTTTAATCTCTAACAATAATACTCACCATTTTACTATAACTTATATACATCTTATAAACACAAGAAACTTTAAATCCAATCCCCAAGTTGTTAGCCCCTTTTTCTCTCGATTTTTCTTGATCTCTATTTCCAGCGACCTCAACTTCTTCAACCATCTTGACCTCCACCAAATCAACTTCCACTCTTCTCTAGATTTCTAACTGCTGTCACCTCTTGAATGCTTTATCATCTTAGAACCATCAATGTATCAGCACTTTTCGATTCTTCATTGTTATTTTCTCCTCAATTTTCTTTGACTTCTCTATTTCCTTGAGAATCTCTCCCTCATCATCATCCTATTCATATCTTGGTGAGTGTCGAACTGGAGATTCGGTGACATTAAGTGGCTCTTACCTACCATCCAGCATCTCCAACAACCCCAATTCTACACCCATCGATGCAAGGCAATCTCTAACATGTTCTCTAGTCTTCTCATTTATCTCTAAATTTGGTGTGCTTTCAAGGCTTGTTTACCTTTTGAACCTTTGACTCTTGGATTAGCTATTTTGAGAACCTAAGTCTAGATTTGAGAACCCAAATCTGAGGTTGAGAACCTAACAAATTGGTAAGGAAGGAAGAGAGGAAGAAGAAGGGAGAAGAGAGAGAGAGAAAGAATAAGAATAAGAGAGAAGAAGGATAAGCAAGGAAAGGGAGGAAGAAGGTTGATGGAGAAATGAGGAACAAATTGCTAAAGGATTGAGAGAGAAGAAAGAAGGAAGAAAGATTTATTTCTTTATTTATTTTAGGGTTGGATTAGTTGGAAAGCTATGAAATCTGATTTGAAATGATAAAAAGTGTCAAATTATAAAACAAATGACTTGAAATTTGCACATGGATTTTTTCGTAATTTAATGTGCCACTTGATACTTTCATTAACAAAAGGATCATTTTAGTATTAAAAATGAAAGTTTAGGAATAATTTTGATACATTTTGAAGTTTAGGGACAATTTTAATACTAAAATAAAAAATTAAGGGGCCAAAATAGTATTTTAACCAAAATTTTAAGATCTTATTGTCAATAAAGTGAAATTACTAATGAGTTGATTAAATTGTTTACAATAATTATGATTATTTTAATCTTTATTAATATGGAAAAAAGGAAAAAAAGAATCCAAAAAAAACCCGCTGGCGCTAATTAATTAATTAATTAGTACTAATTACTAGCAATTTACCATCGTTGTTCCAAAAAAAGAAAAAAAAAAAAGGGAGGAGGTAAAAACAGAAGAAAAATTAAAGCAATCGCCACGATGCTGGAGATGCGACAGACGCGGTAAAGTGGAATTCAAGAATCTCCTTCTTCTCTCTTCCCGTTCCTACCCTCACCCTTTCTTCTTCAGATCTGTGAAAATCAGCGGAAGAAACGTCCGTGGATACTCAGCTGCGTCGTTGTTTTCCGACTGGTAATCCGACGCTTCTCTTTCTCCTCAATTCTCCTTTTTCCGATCTGAACTCATCTTCTCACCTTCGATCTCACGGCTAAGCCATCATCTCTCCCATCGCAGCATTGCATTATCGTCAGCTATTCTTCGTTTCCTTTTCATTTTTGTGCCTTACTTGATTGCTGGTAATCAATAGTTCGTTTGATCCAATAGATATTTCGTTTTTGATGTTAACTGATTTCCAGATTTGCGATGTGCTGTAGTTTTAAAATTTTGAATTAAGCCGAATATGATTCATTGTTTGAGAATTGATCCTTGGTGTTGTTTGATGAGAATTGAAATCTTTTGTTGCAGGATGTGATTAAAGCTAGTTAGAATCAGGTCTTTTCTGGACATTCCTCATGTTTGAAGGTCCTGCAGCATCTAATAGTCCTCATCTTCGCAAGCCAGGCAGTAAAGCTGTTAGCCCGGACCAAGGTAAATTATATTGGTCATGTTTTGTGAAGAGTAATCATGACTTGTTTACATGTTTACTTTTGTTGGATTTATGCAATGTATATTTTTGAATCTGTAGCATTGTAATTGAATAAAAGCATGAACTTGTTTGAGAAAATGCATCAAGTTAATTGCTCTATTAACAAAAAGTTGGAATGGGTGTTCCACTATTAAGCAAAAGGCATTACCAGTGATGCTTTAATGAATCTCATAGGTCATTGCCATGTGAACTTGGTATACTATTTGCAGTTACTATTTTTATTTAGCTATCATGAGGTCTGTCCAAAGATTTTTTTTTTTTTCATTAATATCTGTTTTCCTAGTTTCTTTTTCATCTTGTATGGTCTTTTTAAATTTTTAGTGTTTTCTGTCCAGGTACAAGTTATCCTGCAAATAGTGCTCAAGAAGGTTATGCATTTCCAATGGTGCTGGGTGAAATGAAGGGCGTAAATTTACCAATGCCAAGTGCGGCTATGATGCCCTCTCCTATCTTTCTATGGAGGTTTAAGGTCTGATATTTTAGTATCTGTTTGGTCCTCATAAAATTCCCTCCCTTCTTTTTCTGATATGTAAAATAATAAATAAATAAGGCCTTTTTATTGTAATTTGTAAGCTCAGCCTCTAAAATTTTCGTACTTATCCTGTGTAAACTTTAATTTATGAACTCTTTAATTTTGATATATATGTATATTTTTTTAAAAAAAGAATTAATTGGTTTTCAGGTTCTATTATTTTTGCTGTGGGGCTTCATTTGTTGCAAGGTCAGTTTTAATATTGTTTCTCACATTTTATAGCTAGAGCTCATGACTAATATATTGAGGATGTGCTCAAGCTTCTTGATCACTCTATTAACACTCCAAAGTTGGTGATTTCTTTTTTGAATAGATTGGATGGGATTCAGTCATGAGAATGAGTGCAGATTTGCGAGATTTATTCTTGTATGAGGCCTTCTTGTACTATAACCCTCTTCTTCTTGTGGTTAGTTGACAATTATCTTTTTGGGCTTTTATTGCTCTTTTTTAGCAGATGCATGTGGATTCTTATTTGTTGCTCATGTTATTACAGACAATGATGGTTTGGCTCTGGGGAGTCAGCTTATGGGTTTTCTCACAGGGCAGTGTTAACTATGCAAAAATTTTTGATCTTGATCAGAGTCATCTTACTCATAATGAAATATGGAAGGTACTCATGCTAAATGTTTGTCATGTCAATTGAATTATTTTTAGCAGCCACAGCTTCAATCTTATTAATAATTTTACCTTTAATTATTGTGAAGGAAATTTCACTCTTTACCATCTTCCTCTTGTCTTGGACTCTTGGTTTTTGTTTTTGACAATTTTTATGTAACACGTCATCTCAAACAAAGTATATTTTCTAACTTGCATTTCTATCTTTTTATATACAGTGTAGCATATGGATGACTGTTATTGTCCCAACTAGCATGACAGCATACCTTTATCTCTACTCCCATGGAGAAGTATCATTGGCAGCATCTCAACCAGTGTAGTGTCTATCCTGCTCATTATATAATTCTCTTACCTCATTTTTGCAGTTGTTAATTATATTGCACACATTCCAGATATAGCCTGTGTCATTTTGATATAATCTATTCCTGGTTTCTCTATGGTACATAATGTTGCTAGCTGCAATAAAAGGTTATTTTTATTTCTTATTTTTAAATTGGGTAGGAGCTGTCAATTCTGTCCGGTGGATAAGTGTGATACCCATCTTTTTCCTTTTTATCTAATAAAACCTATCTGCTTTATGCTTTGCATATGTGTTTCTGTTTGTTTTCTTCCCTTAGAATATGTTCTCTTGATTTGCCATCTTGCAGTGATTTATTTTACATGTATAAATTGTTCTGAGCTTTCAAATACCTATTGCAGGTTCTCCTGTATATTGCTGTTGCTTTGGTTTTGATATTCCCCTTTGACATTTTTTATTTGTCATCTCGTTACTTCTTGCTGAGAACATTATGGAGGATAGCTCTCCCGCTGCAGGCAAGTTTCTGGCAGCTGTATATTTCACTCTCACTCTTCTTCTTCTTCTTCTTCTTCTTCTTCTTCTTCTTCTTCTTTTTGAACTATTTTAATTATGTTTGCTCAAAACTTCATTCAGCTTTTGAAAACTTGGTTTTCTCTATGTTGACATGTATTTTGCATTACCTTTTAATAGCTTGTGTTTAATTACCATGTTACAGCCAATTACATTTCCTGACTTCTTCTTGGCTGATATTCTAACCTCCATGGCAAAGGTATGAAGCTGTACCATTTTCATTCTTTTTATTGGGTCTACATTTCATTTGTATTTAATCAGAAAGTTATAGCTAGGGACATATTTTAGGAATGGAGTTGTGATTCTGCACTGTCCTGGAGAAGCATTATTATCCTGCTTTTTAAATTCAAATAGACTGCATAATGGGGAAAGTACCAGCTTTCCTACTGTTTCAAACTCTTCCACGCTAGGCCAAAGTTATGATATTCAAATCATTTAATTCTGAGAAAGGAGCTGCATTTTATCTTTCTTACACTTATGATTGTTAATCTATTGCAGGTATTTTCAGATTTGGAGCGTTCTGCTTGCCGAATGGTTCACCGCCAGGTATTGCTTTAAGTTTGAAGGGGACTTTTCTAATGTTATTTTTCAGAGGCTAGGTAAAATCAAGAATAGTTCCTTAATGAAAATTGCCAAAATAAAGACTGTCCCATGATCAACTAGAACCATTTTTAAGCTTTCAGTTGTCAGTATCACTACTTCTGTTGCTCTGTCATTCTGTTGATCCCTTCCTCCTCATTTGAAGTGAAATTAAGAATTTGTCACTGCAACTTGATGAATATGATGACTTGTTCTTCTCCTGTCTAGTTTTTTATGTAGTAAAAAAATAATTGAACTACAACCTTTGTCTTCTCAGATGAGATGCTAGAACAAAAAGTTTTTGATTTATAGTTAGGACATTTGAAAGAGCTTTATCATTTAATGGTCTGTGTCTCTAATGCACGTCCTGACTTTTTCTTTGCTTCAGCTTGGAATTTGGTCAATCCATACTATATATAACACTTCAAAATTGAACTAGCCTTTTCCTACAGATATGGTAATAATTATCTTTTGATGATTAAGATGACGTGTCTGTTGAGATGTAGGTGGCCACCATTGCATGGTTTGAGGCTGATTCGGTTTGTGGTAGTCACTCAGTTGCAATTCCACTAGTGCTTGTTTTCCCTTATATTTGTCGGTTGATGCAATGTCTTCGTCAATACAAGGATACAAAGGAAAAGACTACACTTTTTAATGGTAATTATATTTTTTTTGTTACTTATTTAGTCTTTTCTTTCTATCATTAGTAGTTTTTCAGTAAGATGCTGAACATTTTACCTCATTTTCTTGATAAGTTGTTATCATTCTTGATCCTTCAGTTAACCAATAGGTAAGTGTATTTTTCAAATTTGATTTTGAACAATATTTGTGGAGCAAGAAGGCAACCCTTCAATTGAGGACTCCTTGTATCTGTAAAACTAATGGAAACAGCTTGCTGAGCCTTGACTCATGTGGAATTGGAGATGCATAATCCGTACTTTTCCTCTTGTTTGTGAAAAGGAGATTTGAAATTGTGGCTATCCACTTAGTTGTTAGCATAACAAAAGTAGGTGAAAAATCTGCAAAAGAATACATTAAAGCATCAGTAAATATAGAACCAGATTTCTGAACCAGTAAGTTGTGCAACTTTTATGTCCAAAGAAATTTCTTAAATTTTGTTGTAAACACTTAAATAATTTCACCATATAATGTTGGCAATTGTGTAGCCATGAGTTTAGGTATTTTAATATAAAAGATGTGGTAACTGTATGCATGACATGACTATTCTTCATTCATTAATTTGTTGCTATTATGTTATTGTAACCACATTTTAATTTGATTTTCAGCATTAAAATATTCAACAGCAGTCCCTGTGATTTTTCTTTCGGCCCTTAAATATCATGTTGAACATGATAGGTGGACATCCATTTATCGTCCGCTCTGGCTTCTCTCAAGTCTGATGAACTCGCTCTATTCATTTTATTGGGATGTAACTCGTGATTGGGACTTGAGGTATGTTAATGTGTTCCCTTTTTCTTACAAATAGCTCTACTGCATCTGGCTTGTGCCTGGTCACTGAAGCCTCTCTTGCATCCCTTTGTAAAGTTTATAGTAACTAACGGCATGTGTATCACTGCAACTTAAGAATGTGTAGATATTTTCCTTAGAGGCCATTGATAAATTTTTATATGCATCATATGCTATGTTGAAAATCAGAGGACTATTTTGTATGAAATACTCCATCGCTGCTTAGAATTTCTAACTGTTAATGAGAGCAGTTTTTTCCTTTTAGCTTTTTTATTTTCACTTACTGAATTCATACCAGAATATGCTACACCACCTATACATTTGCTATGGTATGCATGATAATATGTTTTTTTTCCATTTCCTTTTTCTGTCAGTGGCTTTTCTAAGATATTCAAGTTCAACAGACCAAATCTCCTTTCGAACCTGTTACATGGTCGGCAGTGGGTATGGACTTTAGTTGTCTAAGTTCATTTATGAAATTTCCTTATATGGTTTATAGCAAATCCTTATTATTTCTATTGAGTGTGGTTGCAGGTTTATTTTTGGGTTATCGGAAGCAATCTGATCCTGCGTTGTACATGGACATACAAACTATCTGCTCATCTCCGCCACAATTACCTGACTGTGTTTTCAATCACCGCGTTGGAGATGTTCCGGCGCTTCCAATGGATGTTCTTTCGAGTAGAAAATGAATGGAATAAGATTACAAAGTCTAACTTTCAGCTTCCCATGAGTGAAATCCCGAGGGAGGATGAAAAATTACTAGGTTCAACCAATCACAATGTATAGAGTATACAAGTCTCCCACATTACAATAGCATGAGATTAGATTCATTCTTTGCGCAGGGGCATCATATATGACATATCTCATCCCAAAAGGCAGAGGTGCTCGTTTTGGTAGCTTCCTGCGAGGGACAAATTTTGAGTTTCAGTTAAGACATGCCTTTGAGTTGGATGTATAATGTGAGTCATATTAAAGTTAAATTTAGGGGACCCTCAAACACTAGTGAGGACTCAGTAAATGTCTTTGTCTTTAAGACTGTTGGCAAGTTGGAATTGAAATGATACCACACTCGGACAATTAGAGGTTAAAAAGGCGACCACGTTTTAAAGTCCACTAATCTTGAATGCTCAATTGAAAATTTTGAGCACTTTTTTTGATAATTTAATTGTGTTAATTTATCTTGTATCTTTAGAGTACAGAATAAAAAGTTAATATTAAGTTACAATTATAATTTTTTTTGAAAAAAATAAAATTATATATTAAAAAAATAACTTTTAATTTTTAATTTAAAATTAATTAATAAAAATTTAATACATACTATTTATGATTAAAATAAAAAATTAATTTTATTTGTTTAAAACAAAAAATAATATTTTTTTTATATAATTAATACTTTTTTATTTCTTAATTTAATAACCTAAATCTCTGTAGTTCTATCATAAGATGAACACCTGTTACATAAAATTCAGAGCCAAAATTATTATGATGTGAGAAAGTAGAGAGCAGTGGACAAGTGAACAAGGAAAAAGAAAGAATTTTGGGACTTCGCCTGAGGAAGAAAGGGAAATCTTCTAAGGAAGTTTCGGCCTTACAAAGAAGGTGACCCACGTAACTACATCGTGTCCTCTTTGTCAAGCCCCCATTATGAACCGCCAAAACGGACTCTCACACCACACTCGTTGCCCTCTCAACTTTTTCTTTCCTTCATATAAATTCCCATAGCCAAGTTTCTCTCCATGTCTCTTCTTCCCTTCTCATGGCTGAAAATTTCTCTCAGAGGCAGCAGATCTCTGCACTAACATCCATAGCTGATGCAGTTTCATGGTACTGTGCTCTGGTTGTTGTAGCCCTCATATTGGTGGGTGCCCTGAGGGAAACTTCCCATGCATATGAGCCCATCATCAGAGGCAAGCAGCTTTTGGATCGACCGTGTGATGAAATATATGTGGTAGGAGAAGGGGAAACCCTAAACACAATCGGGGAGAAGTGTGGTGATCCTTTTATAGTTGAGCAGAATCCTCATATTCATGATCCAGATGATGTGTTCCCTGGACTTGTCATCAAGATTACACCTTTGAAGCCTCAGAAATCATACTGAGTTAAGTTTATCTCTTAATATGGAGAGCATATAAATATGGTACTCTTTCAGGTCAAAGGTTTGTGTACTATAATTTTGTTTCTTTCATGGGTATTACGGATGAATTAAGAAAAGCTAGGGCTTTTCCTCTTTGTATATCGATCTGTTGAATAATGAAATTAATATATGTAGCATACCAAAACAAAACTCGTGCATATTGACCAAAAAGATTATTAATACTCATACATGGTGTATGCATGATCATAGACAACTAAGGGAAAATAGAGAAAGAAAGTTTTTCCGATTGTTCGGAACAGGACCAATAAAAAGCCAATATAAGTGTTGGTTAGTAGTTTAAAAATGAACAAATATTTTGTAGAATTTTAATAACTGAAGTGATTTTTTCATTAATATAAAAAGCTCCACGCTCTTAT